GCGCTTTTTTTTTATCTGTCCTCCAGCACGTGACCCTCCCCCAGTGCCGCTTTCCGTTTCGGTTAGTGATAGTTTTATTTTTTCTGCAAACTTATAAACATGTAAAGCTTTACATTTTGCAGGCCATTTACTCAAGAGCAAATGGTTTTTAGTAAAAGTGTTTGCTTAATTTTCCATTCATACTGATGCGAGTAAAATGCTTTCGAAAGTGGTAGAAAAAGCAAATGCCACGCTTTTATTCATACAAACATATGTATCATTTGTACTTTATGAACTTTAATAAATGCAGTAGTTTTTGCGCAGAATTATTTTGCTTTATAATTTCAAGGTTGCCCCAACCCAGCCTTGTAATGACAAGTGCATATTTGAAATCTGAAGCATTTACTCCTTTTTATTCATACAAAACGAAGAAAACGATTATTAGGCCAAAAAAGGCTCTGGTTTCTGGTATGCGCGCGCGTCTCCATAGCCATGCGCGTCGGCAATGTAAGATGATGTCTTTCAATGTAAGATGAGTCTCAAACCACCAAACTCACTGGTTCGAATGGAATCCTGCTGCTGCACAAATTTGTGTTATTTCTCATCAAGTTATTTTCTCATGTCTGAGTTTCTGAGTTTTTTATTTTTTGCACTCCCCTTTTTAAAAATCAAGCTCCGCCCCCCAAAATTGTGCAAGATCCAAGATGTGTTCACCTCTTAAAATTATTTTCAGCCCATTTTAACTAGACCTGCCAATTTTCAGGATTTCACTACCAACCGAATATGTTTTCTATATTAGAACCAAACTGCTAAATATACGCCTCTTTTGTACATTTAGGCCACGCCTACAAAATGGGTGGGAAATTAACTGGTGTTCGAAAGCTAGAATGTTATAATTTTATGTTTAAGTTTATTTCAAACCATAGAAAAACAGGAAAATGGATGTTAAATACAGTTTTCATGAGTTTGTATTGTTTGCCCCCCTTTTAAAAAAAAATCAAGCTCCGCCCCCAAAATGGGCAAGATCCAGGATGGGTCCCGATCTTAAAATGAATTCTAGCCCATTGGGACCCCACCTGCCAAATTTCATGCTTTTACCACAAAGTGCACGATTTGGGCCAAAAATGGACTAAGCAGCTCCACTACTATGGAAAATGTTGAAGTTTTGGGGGAATTTTCTAAAAGCTAAAAGTTTTTTTCTCACTGGATACTGAATGTAATTATTGAACCTCTTCGAGAATTTAATTCTGGACTCTAGGCACCTTGTGTAAAATTTTGAGCAATTTTTGTCCATCTGGATTTTTGGGTCAAAAACTGATTTTTTTGATGATGCCGGCTATGGAAAACGTTGAAGTTTGTGGACATTTTTTATAAAAAGGCCAAAAAGTTTTGTTTTCTCACTGGATACTGAATGTAATGAGTTGAACTCTTCGGGAATTCAATTCTGGCCTCTAGGCACCTCGTGTAAACTTTTGAGCAATTTTTGTGGAGTTCAATTTTGGGTCAAAAACTGACTTTTTTGATGAGCCGGCTATGGAAAAAGTTGAATTTTGGGACATTTTTATAAAAAGCCAAAAAGTTTTGTTTTTCTCACTGGATACTGAATGTAATGAGTTGAACTCTTCAGGGAATTCAATTCTGGCCTCTAGGCACCTTGTGTAAAATTTGGAGCAATTTTTGTCGATCTGGTTTTTTGGGTCAAAACTGACTTTTTTTGATGATGCCGGCTATGGAAAAAGTTGAAGTTTTGGGGACATTTTATAAAAAGCCCAAAAAGTTTTGTTTTCTCACTTGATACTTAATGTAATGAGTTGAACTCTTCAGGGAATTCAATTCTGGCCTCTAGGCACCTTGTGTAAACTTTTGAGTAAATTTTTTTCGATCTGGATTTTTGGGTCAAAAACTGACTTTTTTGATGATGCCGGCTATGAAAACGTTGAAGTTTTGGGGACATTTTATAAAAAGCCAAAGTTTTTTTGTTTTCTCACTGGATACTTAATGTAATGAGTTGAACTCTTCGGGGAATTCAATTCGGCCCCTAGGCACCTCGTATAACTTTCGAGCAATTTATGTGGAGTTGGATTTTTTTGGTCAAAAACTGACTTTTTTGATGATGCCGGCTATGAAAAAGTTGAGTTTTGGGGGCATTTTTTAAAAAAGCCAAAATTTTTGTTTTTTCACTGGATACTGAATGTAATGAGTGAACTCTTCAGGGAATTCAATTCTGCCTCTAGGCACCTTGTGTAAAATTTTGAGCAATTTTTGTCGGTCTGGATTTTTGGTTTCAAAACTGACTTTTTTGATGATGCCGGCTATGGAAAAAGTTGAAGTTTTGGGGACATTTTCTAAAAAGCTAAAAAGTTTTTTTTTCTCACTCGACACTGAATGTAATGAGTTGAACTCTACAGGGAATTCAATTCTGGCCTCTAGGCACCTTGTGTAAACTTTTGAGCCATTTTTTTTCGATCCTGATTTTTGGGTCAAAGACTGACTTTTTTTGATGATGCCGGCTATGGAAAACGTTGAGTTTTGGGACATTTTATAAAAGGATGGGTCCCGATCTTAAAATGAATTCTAGCCCATTGGGACCCCACCTGCCAAATTTCATGCTTTTACCACAAAGTGCACGATTTGGGCCAAAAATGGACCTAAGCAGCTCCACTACTATGGAAAATGTTGAAGTTTTGTGGGGAATTTTTCTAAAAAAGCTAAAAAGTTTTTTTTTTCTCACTGGATACTGAATGTATTAGTTGAACTCTTCGGAGAATTTAATTCTGGACTCTAGGCACCTTGTGTAAAATTTTGAGCAATTTTTGTCCATCTGGATTTTTTGGTCAAAAACTGATTTTTTTGATGATGCCGGCTATGGAAAACGTTGAAGTTTTGTGGACATTTTATAAAAAGCCAAAAATTTTGTTTCTCACTGGATACTGAATGTAATGAGTTGAACTCTTCGGGGATTCAATTCTGGCCTCTAGGCACCTCGTGTAAACTTTTGAGCAATTTTTGTGGAGTTCAATTTTTGGGTCAAAAACTGACTTTTTTGATGATGCAGGCTATGGAAAAAGTTGAATTTTGGGACATTTTATAAAAAGCCAAAAAGTTTTTTGTTTTCTCACTGGATACTGAATGTAATGAGTTGAACTCTTCAGGGAATTCAATCTGGCCTCTAGGCACCTTGTGTAAAATTTGGGCAATTTTTGTCGATCTGGATTTTTGGGTCAAAAACTGACTTTTTTGATGATGCCGGCTATGGAAAAAGTTGAAGTTTTTGGGGACATTTTATAAAAAGCCAAAAAGTTTTGTTCTCACTTGATACTTAATGTAATGAGTTGAACTCTTCAGGGAATTCAATTCTGGCCTCTAGGCACCTTGTGTAAACTTTTGAGTAAATTTTTTCGATCTGGATTTTTGGGTCAAAAACTGACTTTTTTTGATGATGCCGGCTATGGAAAACGTTGAAGTTTTGGGGACATTTTATAAAAAGC